GCTGGAAATATTTGTGGATATCTCAATGGCAATGACCAGCAGGCAGTTGGCTGCAAGAGTCTGGAGCTTAGGAAAGAGGTCTGGGCTAGAGACTGAGCTTTGGGAGTGGTCCTAGCACAAGTAACATTGTACACAGAGAAAGTATTAAGAGTTAATAGGACAGAGGGCCAAGGGAACATTAGAAACATGTATACAATTTAAGTGGTAAAATAATTGAGAATGAGCTGGGCATGGTGGCGCACACTTGTAATCCCAGCTACTTTGGGAGTCTGAGGTGGGCAGATCACTTGAGGCCAGGAGTTCAAGACCAGCTTGGCCACCATGGTGAAACCCCATCTATCAAAAATACAAAGTTAGCCAGGCGTGGTGGCGGTCGCCTGTAATCCCAGCTACTTGGGAGGCTGAGGTAGGAGAATCACTTGAACCCACGAGGCAGAGGTTACAGTGAGCTGAAGTCACCCCACTGCACTGCAGCCTGGGCTACAGAGTGAGAGTGTTTCAAAAAAAAAAAAAAAAAAGAAAGAGAAAGAAAAGAATTGATAACAAATCATAGGAGGAGAGGAGATAGGAGACTATAACAAAAACCAGTGGAGGTAAGATATTCTGGTTTTTATTTTTCTGTTATGGGTAACATGTAGCATAAAAAAAGATCTTCAAAGAGATGATGCTTTGTAAAACTTATATTAAAATTAGAATTTTTAATCAAATGCAGTATTTACAAAGTGAAATATTATAAAAATGTTAAGCGTGTTAAAACAAACTAAATATGGCCTGAGAAAGACTCCGTACTTCTATATTTGAGTCTTTGTGGAGGAACTGTAATCTAACTTAATAGGCAAAATTGAAAACCTAACTTAATAAGTATGTACTTGTAACAATAGCTGAGTGGTGGCCAATCCCAGCGGCTGTACTTCAACCACTCATAGACTACTGAATGTTCAAACTGCATTCAAATAAGGCAAACACTGAGCTGTAACCAATGTCACTGTTTCTGTACCTCATTTCCAATTCCTGTACATCACTTTACCTTTTTTGTCTATAAATTTGTTCTGACAACAAGGCAGCCCTGGAGTCTGTGAATCTGCTGTGATTCTGGGGGCTGCCCAATTCATGAATGGTTCATTGCTCAATTAAACTCTTTTAAATTTAATTTGGCTGAAGTTCTTTTATCAAACACTATTATGGAGTTTTATAATCAAGTAGTTTGATAATGGTGATAAATATATGATATATAAAAATTGCAGGAAAGTTTCAATTAGGTTGAGTGTTTATTAAACCAGTAAACCAGGTATATAACTAAGGAAAATTTTCCCCAATTATTAATATAAAATGACTTTCAACTGAATTTCCCTCAAATAATTTGGATTTTCACTTTAAATTCAAGAACTGGCAAATCCATCCCTCTTCAAAAAACAAACAAACTCCCCCCCTCAAAAAAAACCCCAAAACCCTCTTTACAGTGTGTTACCCTTAAACACACAGAATGCCCATGTAGTAGGCTGAATACTGTCCCCCATCAAACTATTTGTATCCACCTTTATTTGGAAATACAGGTTTCGTAGATGTAATTAGTTAAGGATCTCAAGACAGAAACCATTCTGGATTTAGGGTGGTCCTTAAGACCACTGACTGGTATCTTTATAAGAGAGAGGAGAGGGAGGTTTGGACACAGGCACGTAGAGAAGAAGGCAATGTGAAGATGGAGGCAGAGACTGGCTGCATTTATAAGCCAAGGAACACCAAGGACTGCTGACAACCAACAGAAGCTCTGGCAGAGGCATGGGATGGTTTCTCCCTCAATACTTCCAGAAGGAATCCTCCCTGCCAACCCCTTCGTTTTGGGCTTCTGACCTCCAGAACTGTGATAGAAAAGATTTCTGTTGTTTTCAGCCATCCAGTTTGTGGTAATTTCTCACAGCAGCCCTAGGAAACTAACATAGCTTCTACTCCTCACCAGCTTCCCAGACCCCCTAAACTATGATTACACAGATACTTTTCTATTTTTTTTTCTTTTTTTTTTTGAGATGGAGTTGTGGTCTTGTCACTCAGGCTAGAGTGTAATGGCGTGATCTTGGCTCACTTGCAACCTCCGCCTCCCGGATTCAAGCGATTCTCCTGCTTCAGGTTCCCAAGTAGCTGGGGTTACAGGTGCCTGCCACCATGCTCAGCTAATTTCTGTATTTTTAGTAGATATGGGGTTTCGCCATATTGGCCAGGCTAGTCTTGAACTCCTGACCTCAGGCAACCTGCCTGCCTCAGCCACCCAAAGTCCTGGGATTATAGGTGTGAGCCACAGTGCCCGGCCAATTTTTTATATTGATTTAAAAATCCATAGGTTTCCTGTAATCCCAGCACTTTGGGAGGCCGAGACGGGTGGATCATGAGGTCAGGAGATTGAGACCATCCTGGCTAACACGGTGAAACCCTGTCTCTACTAAAATATACAAAAACTAGCCGGGCGAGGTGGCGGGCGCCTGTAGTCCCAGCTACTTGGGAGGCTGAGGCAGAAGCTGCCCGACTCCCAGCTGCAGGCCTCAGGAAAAAAAAACCAAGACTCCATCTCAAAAAAAAAAAAAAAAAAAAAAAAAAAAAAATCCATAGGTTTTTGTAATTCGTACTTATATGCAAAGGACAATATTCACAGTAGTATGCTATGAGCTAGTTTTTTAGATGCTCACAAAAATTTCAAATGCAAACTGGTTTTACTTATGTAGCTTAAACAAATGCCAATTATTGAACTTTGTGCTGGCTCTTTAATATCGGTTCTCTTTTTTCTTCCAGTTAATGTTGATTAACATCAGCTCATTTAGTCAGTTAACATTTGTTTCCTAAAATCAAACACTCTTGATTGGTCAGCCTGGGAAAAGAGGGCTAAGATTAAGGTTAGTGATGGTTCCTTTAAAACCTGTTGAGTGTCTGCATTGTTAGACACACTGAAATTAAAGAGTCCTATCTCTCTGGGGTTGTTCACTTTACTAATAATTATTTATAAAAGGGAAGCTGAGACAATAAATTGTCAATAACCATTTAACATAATAACCACAACGAGAAGACATTAAAGCTACCTTTTCTTTAGCCTGATTTTACCTAGATGCTGGGTTTTGGTAACAAGCCATCACTAGAGGTCAGTTTTTGATTACATGTCTTCTCAGGTTCAGCCTATGTTTTGATTTTTGGCTATTGGGCACCTCTCTGGTTTTTAGGCTTTAAAGCAGATCCAAATGGTATATTATAGTATTGTAAATATTTCATTCTTTTGGCTTCTGGTAGATTAGAACTCTAATTATTAAAAACTATTTTTAAGCATTTGTGACTACAAAAACTCCTAAACTACAAAGGGTTTAAATTTTGATGTTAATCCTAATTTTAAAATATTTTAAAAATTATTCAATAATAGAACAATCTGTAATGAAAACTTACACATATGTGAGAGGTAATATTTTAAAATAAGAGTTTGCAGGTCAAGGTAGTCAGGGAGGAAAGAGTAGATGTCAGAGTGGGAAAGGCCCTTACAACTTAATAGGGAATATCAAATCTCTACAAAAATTTTATTCAAGACAGTGTCTAAGACTTAGAAGCAACTAACTTAAAAGTAAACTTTTGTAACTTAATCCTATTTTCACTGGGGACTCCCTTTATGAATAACATGCTGTAATTACATGTAGAAGCTTAAGGACTGAAACAGAGCATTTCAAATGACAAATGTTTTCACCCGAAGGAATAGCACCCAAATTATGTTGTACAAGTAAGCAGAATAAAATAATCACATGCTTGTTATTAAAAGTATCATATGCCTACCATTCACTGTTTTCAAAAGTGAAAAAATAGTATGTTATCTTTGAGTTTGTTTTCATGTGGTATAGACTTATAAGCAAGTTAAATTAAATAATGTACTGAGCATTAATTTAAGCCAGGATTTTCCAGCCTCAGCACTGTTGACATTTGGGGCTGGATAATGCTTTGTTGTGAGGGGCTGTGCAGTGAGAGGTGTTCAGTAATATCCCTGGCCCCAACCCATTAGATATGTCCCCTCTCCAGTTGTGACAACCGAAATGTCTCTAGACATTGCCAAATATCCCTTGGAAGTAAATTGTGCCCAGTTGGGAACCATGAATTATTAATCCCTAAAAGACAAAGCAGCAACTTCAGACCCCTACAAAAAGTTTTAAATCAATAGTTGAAAATCCTTATCCATTACTAATCCCACTTCATTGTACCTTTAGTATCTGGTAACCCTCCCTATGGTCACACTTAACTCGGCTCATTATTATTTTAAAACATGGGGCTGTGTCATTTCCTGTCTGTGAGTTTGGACTGCAGTGGGAATCCATTAGTTGAATGACCTTCTGTGTAGGTTAATCACAAGACAAGTTCTCAAACTAAGGGTTTCCCTGCGGCTCCTTTCTTTTTAAAGATATGGAATACCTGTTCTGCTTATGCCTTTTAGAGTCATAATTATTTTACTTGTATCAAAATTTCAATTAATAGAAAGAAATGACGTTACTGACACTTCATGATGATTAAGTTTTGGGCAAGTGAAGCATTTTACACTCTGTTTTTTTATTCCTCCCACTTTTAGTCAGAATACACCTGCAGAATAAGTAACAGTACTGTGTGAAAAGAACGACTAGGTCATTACGGTTAATAGTTTTACAAAAACAGCCAAGGCCTGGTCTGGAAAGCTCACAACATCCACCCGGGGTGCTTTCCAGCCTCGGGGATATTCGTACTAGCAGTGACACCAGCCAGCTTCCTCTAGGCTGGCTCTGGTGCTGGAAGACAAGCACGCAGATGTGTGTTACTTTTCAAGCCTGGACATTGTTTCTGAGGAATTTAACTCCACCTCTCCTGCCAGAATGGAAAATCAACGCCCCCATTCCCGCCCTTCACCAACCCTTCTCCGCCTGCCCCTTTCCCTTGCGTCCTCTCCTGTTACAGAAGTTCTGATTTTTCCTAGAGAGCTGGAGGAAAGGCAGGTACCCAGAGTGGAGTTATATTACCTGTTTCTTTGTTCTGATGGGACCCCAGAGAGGAATTCACGCTTTGTAACTGGTTCTTCAGGGGGAGAAGCAAATGTGTCCCTGAGAACTTCAGCTGCCGCGTTTGGTTCCAGGTTTGATTGACAAGGACTGGCGGAGGGAAAGAGCGGGGGCGGGGCGGGGGGCCGCGGGCCGAGGCAGAGACAAAGAGGTTTTGGCTGTCCCCGAGAGTGGAAGGGCCCCTGGGGGTACCTAGCCTTTGAACTCAAAGGGGGCATTTGGTGAGGTCGCCTTTTGGTCCGAAGAGCGCGCGGCGATCGGGTGGAGGGGGCCTGGCGGGAAGAAAGCCGGGACCGGGAAGGGGCGCGGGCCGAGGTGGGAGCAGAGCTGCCGTCACGTGGCCGCCGGCAGCCTCAGAGTTGGGGCTGTTCTTCCGGGTTGGAGGCTCAGCGCCGCGGGGCCCAAGCCCGGGTCTGCCAGCGCAACGTCCCCTCGCGGCTCGCAGGGCACAGCCCAAGGCTGTCAGCCTCCCGGCCCAGGTGAGCGCGGCGGCACTGGCGGGTGCGGGCAGCTGGGGCGCGCGCCTAGGGCGCAGCTGGGAAAGGGGCTCCGGCCTTCCCTGAAGACCACAGCCCTCGCCTGGAGAGAGACCTGTCAAAGAGCAAAGGGGGGGCGGGGTCGGCGGTGTCCTGGGCACAGGGTGCACTGGGGTGCCCGCAGGCCGCAGGCTTAAATGGGGAAAAAGAACCGTGCCTCTTGGGGTCCCTTTCTCGTCTCCTGCTAGGGAGATGTCGCAGGGAGTGGGCGGGTGATTTGGGAACTGGGCCCCCGCAGAGGGGCAGGGAATGAGGCGGCAGCTGTGCAGGTGCAGATATTTGTAGCTTTGGGGGACAGCGAGAGTCGTACGGCGTCATTTCGGCCTGCAAGATGGGGGCTGGTGGAGAGGGAGGTCATAGAGGACTTTCGATGGGCGGTTCACCCAGAGAGGTGGCAGCTGGATGCACCTGAGGTATCCTTGACCCTTGAGGGAGTTCGGAGAGGGTGTCCAGCTGGGGACATAGGAGATTGCGAGCACAAATTGTGAGTGTAAGTCGGGGCGGTCTGGCGGTGGTGGTTGCAAGTTTCTGGGGCCTAGGCTGGTGAGGAGGAAGAGACAGCGGAGAGGGCGACCTGGGCAGAGCTAGTTCAAACTCAACAGCCGAAATGACTATTTGCAGCCCTGGCCAATCGGCTTCCTAGGGAGGTTATAAATAGCGGTCTCGTGCAGATGCCAGTGGGTGGCAGTTAGTTGCTGAGCAAGGGGCGGCACCGGTGGCAGTAGCCGTGACACCGGTGGCTTTGGGTAAGGTCACGGCGCCTGCTAGCCGAAGCTGGCTCAGTAGGGTATTGTGTCCTTGCTGGTATGTCTCGCTTTTAAAAGCGTGACTTGTTTATGGTTGCCGGTGTCCTTTATTCACCCTGCGGTGCTGGCCAGTCCTTAGGTGGTCTGTTTGTCAGGAGTCTTGTAGGACAGACTTATTCGGAACAGCGCGTGGGGCTTAGGTGCCTACCTACTCTTCTTTAATAAGTGTGCCCCTCATCTCCCTTGTACCCCTTTTATTTGCAAACCTTGACTTTTTATTAACAGACAGTTTAGGATCACCTTCTTTCCAGCAGGTGCGCTCAGGCTGCTTACCTTTGCTGATAGAATCAGTTTTCCACAAGGCTACACAAACATTTCCTTTTCAAAGGAAATTTTCTGAAAATCCTTGGAAAATGTGCTCAATAGGTACTTAGGCTTAAGGTTACCTAGCCCTATTCATTCATTCAGTCAAAGATACTGACTTCCTCTGTGTTGTGCAAAGCACTGGGGGAGAAGTAATACCAAAGTGAATGTAACAGCTCATAAGGATATTCTCAATCCTGGCAACAACCCTGAGAGGTAGGTGCTGTTATTTTATTTTTTCAAGTCTTGCTCTTTTGTCCAAGCTGGAGTACAGTGGCACAATCATGGCTCACTAGAGCCTGGAACTCCTGGGCTCAAGCGATTCTCCCACCTCAGATTCCCAAGTAGCTGGGACTTCAGGCTTGTACCACCATGCCCTGCTAATTAATTTTTTTTTTTTTTCAGCAATGGGGGTCTCACTATGTTGCCCAGGCTAGTCTTGAACTCTTGGCCTCAAGCAGTCCTCCCCACTAGCCTCCCAAAGAGATGGCATTATAGGCAAGCCACCTTCCTGGCTGGGTGCTGTTATTCCCCATTTTAAAGATAAGGAAATTAAGTACAGAGCAGTTAAGTGACTTCCCAAGGTCACACAGCCAATAAGTTGTAGAGTGGGGGTTTCCAATCCACAGATCCGGAGCTGACTCTCTTAAATATCTGTAGTATCCTCCCTCTGTAAGTTGGGTGCTTGCCCTCAAGGATTTTAATATCTAATAGGGGAAATAGCCCATATAAGTTACATTAAACATACATATGAAAGCAATGCTAAAAAAGTTGTGTTTTCTTTCCCCCCTAATTTTGACTTATAAAGTTTTTTTCTTATTGCTTCAAAGCCACAGGAGCACATGGATAAATGAGAGCTTTACAGTGAAGATGGAGGAAAATGTGATGATTAAGATGGAGTATTATCTTTCATATAAACCTGTACAGGCCAATTATAAGATAGCTTAAATATTCTCTATCTTTCAGGGCCATTTGTATTTGGTTTAGACTTAGTGATATGTACTGCTCTTGCCAAGAAATGACCTCCTGATCTCTGCCATGTATGTTCATAGTTGAATCAAGTGGAATTTTTCACAGAAATTGGCCTATGAAGGCTTTTCAGCCAGGGATCTGCTGAACATCAAATTACCATTTTCCAAGTCGTAGGAACAAATTTTCCAGATTTCAGGCCATGAAATAGGACTTCAGTTTTATAACATTACAAAGTCTCATCTAATCGTAAAATTTCTAGAGCCTAAAATGGCCTTTGAAACCTGTGCTCTTTTTATAGTTGAGCTAACTGAGGCACGGGGAGATTCAGGTTGAACAGTAAGTGAGTGGCAGATTCGGGCAATACAGGACTCTATAAAGCTCACTTCACTCTTTTGCTGATGAGGTCTGGGAACTCTTGGTCAGCCCTATAAAAATGGTGGTTGTTGGGGAGCTGGGATGATCCAAGAAGGGAAACTTGGGTAAGCAGGGAGGTTGGGATAGGAGTAGGTCACTCAGTAACGGTAGGGGAAAAAAATCTCACTCAAGACAAGAATAATCTTTTACACATCTTTGCATCTCCCTTAGTTCTTGGTGTAGATTCGGTAGAGGTTTTGAATATGTAGCTGAATTTTGAACGAACTTTCTCTTTATTCTCAGCCATGATAACTCTAGATGTGACCCATGAATGAATGAGTAGGGTATTTCTGGGACTTGAGAATACTTTAGGACTGAAATAAAATGACATGATGTGTAGAAACACTTTGAATATGTAAAACTGTCTGTCCAAATGCAAAGAATTATTCATACATATTTTTAATTGCATGCCAAAACACATCTTGCATTCTTTCTTCCTTAGCTATTTTTCATTTGATTCTTTTCATCTCAAATGGCTTTCCCTTCCTTTTCTGAGCTCTCAAAGAGGACACAATCTCATTCTTTGATCCTTCAAAGGACTCTGAGCTTGTGTTACTCTACTTTGTAGTATTATTATTTGTTGACTTCTTATCTCCAGGAAAATTTCAGTTTGATTCTACAAGTGCTTCTTAATGGCAAAACTCTGTCCTTGGTATATATTTGTTGAATTAAGGGGCATCTTATGAATAAATGCTCTCTGGATTAAAAATGTCCATTACCAAT